ATTGCCCAACCTTCCTTCCAAGGAGTGGCTGGTGGGTTTGAACCGCCAGCCTTCTGGTTAGCAGTCAGGTGCCTTAGGCACTATGCTACCAGAGCTCCTCCATAGAGATACTGCCTCGGAAACCCAAGGAGGGGTTGCTATGAGTCAGAATCAACTTGACAGCAGTGAGTTTGTTTTTTTTGGCTTTTGATCATAGTATATACATAGTTTTATTTTCTGCTTTTTCACTGAATTTAGTGTTTTTTAGCGTTTAAAAATACTTCCTAAAAGCATTTTTATGGCTATATAATCTTGCATCAAATAGTACCTAAATCTTTGTTCACTTTCTGATTATTTCCTTCTCATAAATTGTGAAGAGGAATTAGTGTGCAGAAGATAGTAGAGTTTTCAAACTTTTGATCTCTTTGAAGAAATCGCCCTCTAAGATAAATTTCTCATTTAAGAATTATAGTCACATCTATTAGGGTAACATCAGGGAAATGTTTCTTCAGAAATTAAAGGCCTAGGTAAGAATGTTTTAAAAAGCAAAAATATGTAAGGAAGAAATGTTTGAAATTTTAACTTCATGAATGATATTCTAATGATACATTTGCCTATTTTTAGACAAGCCTGAGTCAAGAAACGGTCAATAACTCTTGTTTTTATTGAATGAAGAAAATAGTTTAGACTTCACACTTGTGTGTATGTGCAATATATATCCTAATTCTTACTTTCTGCATTCAGTTCTTAAAATGGTTTCACCTAGTTAACCTTTAGCATTGGTGTGTTTACTAATGATTTGGAGAGCAGTTAATCCATCATTAAGTTCTTTTCTTTCAGGGTGAATCTTCTAATGGCTCAAATGATAGAGGAATGAAATCTCTGGTAAATAAAATGACTGTTGCTTTGAAGACAAAATCCGTAAATGTCAGGGAAAAAGTTATCAGTTTTATTGAGAATACTTCAACTCCTGTGGACCGGTGAGTGGCTCATACTGTATGAATTTATGATAAATAATTAAAACCAGTGAAAAGTATTTTGCAGTACATAGTTAATTGAATGTGTTCTAGAAGAGGAGCATAAAATACATTTTTTAATTAAATGATTTCATAGGTTTCGCTACAATTCTAGGAATGCACTTTATTGCTGCAAAATTTGGCATACAGAATCCTCTCTTCTCTCCCATTGCTCAGAATAATAAGCCAGTCATGATTCTGCCTCTTCATGCCATTCATTAAAAATATATTCATTCAAGTGTCACCTATATGTATTACATTTCATAAAGTAGCCACTTCCCCATTGTCAAACAGGTGGGGGATTCATATACTAAATGCAGTAATCTGATAGCAGGAACTTCTTCCTCTGTACCAGAAATTTTAAAAATAAAGGCTAGAAAATTTGGTCATGGTAAATAAAGCAGGAACCCACTTTCTCAAGATTTAGGGTTTAGATCTTCATAGAATTTTGTTCACAGAATATAAGCAAACCCCATATTCCAGTGACTTACAAAGGAAGGACACAGCTAACAACTAATAAGAAAGCTTAAGAATGTCTTTCATATTGTTTCTTGCTGGAACTGTAAGTGTATAATGTATTTTTTTCTTCCATATATTAGTCTAATTGACCTTTCATGTTCCTAGAGTTCAAAGTTAACCTTATGGTACCAGAACAGAAACATTTGTTTTTCAGCAAGCTGACTTTGGAAATGTGTTAATAGTATAAGTCAACTGATTAATAATATTTGTGTCTTATCAAGCCTGAAAGATTTCTTTGCTCATTAAAGTTAGGCCTGCTTTCAAGTCTAACCCTTTTTGTTAGTGCATTTTGACTTAGAGTACTATTATTACTACTATTTCATAGCACGTACATTTAATTTTTCAGTTTAAAATAAAAAGATGTTATTTTAAAAAGATTCTGGTGGTAACTAAGTTGAAAACAATTACTGTCTGAGTTAAATTATCACTTGAATCTTGCTTTTCTTCTTCCTTTTTTTTTTTTTTTTTTAGTACTTGGGATGATTGAACATTTTCTTTACCATGTCTTGTACTTTCTACATTAGCAAAACTGATTATACTGTATTTTTATTTTAAAGCTGTTTCATTTTTTATAATCATTTTGTTCTGTCCTCTGCCTTGATTTGCTATAGAATGTCTTTCAATCTTCCTTGGCCAGACAGAACATGTACAGAGCGGTAAGCCAATGAGTAGAGCAGCTGTTTCTTTAGCATGCCTCATATTGTCTAAGCCTTATGCTGATTTGGATAAAATTTCATGCAGCTATTTCAAATGCTAAACTTTTCTCATTCTGCTTTTAGGAATGTGTAATGCTGATGTTTGATCTGTTTTTTCTTTTTGTTTTTTGCTTGGTCATTTTAGTGTTTTTTTGTTTTGTTTTCTTTCTTTGCATGATTCTTTATTATCTCCCATTCCACAGATGAAAATCAAGTTCATTGAAACTGGAGAATCTCATACAACCTGCAGTTTTTATTCTGAGACAAGGGAAAGTGAAACAAAGAAAATGTGGTCTCAGAGTTGTTAGGGTCTTAACTTTGGAGATCATTTACTACTCTCCGCTGTCCCTAACAATAAAGAAAATTATAGTGCCTAAAAATAGGCACAGTTCATAGTTCCAATTTTTAATTTATATACTTTATGTAATTTTATAATAATAATATTTTTTCCTAATGCAATATTTGTATTTAGGTTAATTAGTTAATATGTATAGGATCGGTTCCAGGATTCCATCTTTATTTTTCCTTGAAAGAAATTAGGTCATGGGGTGGTACATGTTATACATAATCCATCTCTTTTCTACCCCAAGTATGACATTAAGGCTTTGGTACTGGTCATTAAAAGACAAAAAGATTCATACATTTAAAGTTTAAAAACCTACAGGATCTATCATTAACATGAGTAAAAAGAACTTTAGTAACTTAATTCTGTATGGCTTTAGTTTTTTACACTCAGAATTTTTCTGAAATTTAAAGTAGAATATTAATTATGCTGGTATCTATGAACATTTAAAAAGAAATTCTAGTTATACTTTGAATGTAAGTTAAGCTTTGAAATAATAGAATCAACTTTTTGTCAGATCATTTCATTTTTAGTGTCTAGATGTAGCTTTTTTAAAAACGTTAGTAAAAAACCTACCTAGTAAGAGTTTTTATTCACCATTACTGTTCCTGTACGATGCCAGTTACAAATTATAATAGAATTTAAAAGAAGTAAATTATAATAGAAATAATAGCTTCTTTTAAAATTATAATCTATCTTGAGTCATTGTTTAACTTTTATTACGTTGTTGTTGTTGTTATGTGCTGTCGAGTGAGACCCCACTCATAGCAACCCCTCCTTGGGTTTCCAAGGCAGTATCACTACGGAAGTAGATTGCCCAATCTTCCTTCCGAGGAGTGGCTGGTGGGTTTGAACTGCCAGCCTTCTGGTTAGCAGTCAAGTGCCTTAGGCACTATGCTACCAAAGCTCCTAACTTTTATTATAGGACCATTGAATTAATCTAATTTTATTTAATATCCAAGTTTTTTCTCAAATTCTTAATTTTATTTATAGGCAGATATGTTAATTTTGAAAATAGAATTTAGTGAAATATTAAAATGAGTTCATTTCTTTCTGAGCTCAACAAGTTAAATTAAAACCTGGTCAAAATCTTTTATTTGTGTTTCTGTTATTGCTTTGGCTGGAAAAGTATAAATAATGCTACTTTAAAAAAAAACTCCAGTCAATGAATTTCATTGATTTTTAGCCAGTCTTTCAAAAGCTATCTCAGTAATCTTTAGTGTTCTTGTTTATGAAAACTTTGTTTTCTATAGTAAATCCAGATTGATAACAAAAAATTTTGGGGGGGTTGCTGCTTTATTTATACTTTATGGTTTCAGCATTTAATATAAACATTCTTTGTTACTTTCTATAATATGGTACTTGTTTTAATATTAGGAGAGAACCAATAATTTGATCTTACACAATTTTATAGTCTCAGTGATACTAAAGCATTTTTTAGATAAAAATATTACCTTGGACTTAGTCTTTTATAAGAAAATTGAAAAAATTGAATACTAAGGTTAAATAAAGACAGGTAACTTGATTTTTTTTCCACATTGGAGTATCTCTTGAAAACAGAAAATTCTGAGTAGCTTCATATATGACGTATGTTCCTTCATAGTTGTTGTTGTCGTTGGTATGTGCCCTCGAATCGGACCCGACTCATAGCGACCCCTCCTTGGGTTTCCGAGGCAATATCACTACAGAAGTAGATTGCCTCATCTTCCTTCCAAGGAGTGGCTGGTGGGTTTGAACCGCCAGCCTTCTGGTTAGCAGTCAAGTGCCATAGGCACTATGCTACCCTTCATAGTAGATAACCTTAATTGAGCATTATTCTACAAGATACAATGCTTCTTCCCTAAAAACATATAGTATTTTTGTGGAAATACTTATTTTTACTTGTTTATTTGGGATTACCTGAAAAGTAATCAAGTATAAACTGTTATATTAAACAGAGAGGGGTCACACTTAGTATAGAACTAATTAAGTTTTATTGACATGTTTACTGCTTTTTCCACTTGAAGAAGAAAGGCAGATTCACTTTCATGGTTTATTTCTGTTTGTGCAAAAGAGGTAGAGTTTTAGTTTCAATTGAAACAAAAGTAACAGTAATTTAAAAAAAGGAGGGGAGGAAAAAATGTAAGATATTTGCATCTATATTAGCATATAATCTATCTTGAGACATCTTTTAACTTTTATTATGTTGTTGTTGTTGTTATGTGCTGTGAGACCCAACTCATAGCGACCCCTCCTTGGTTTTCCAAGGCAGTATCACTACAGAAGTAGATTGCCCAACCTTCCTTCTGAGGAGTGGTTTAAATGCTCCTAGCATTTGAATGTTTGATTCAGTAGTCTGTTTTGTGTAATATTTATGTAGTACTTGTTATATAACCAGGCAGTGTTCTAAATATTGTTTATAAATATTAACTAATTCTTATAGTACCCCTGAGGGATAGATACTCTTATTATCCCCATTTCACAGATGAGGAAACAGAGGCACAGAGAGGTTAAATAACTTTCCTGAGGCCACAGAGATCTAAGCATTTATTGCCTTTAATATGAATATTGAGATTGTTTAAAATTTAATTTTTACAGCTTTAGGACCATTTGTTTTATGAAGTCCTTATGGCACTTTTGCTAAGTGATAAGATTTCCTTATCTTTTTTCATTTTCCTTAACATAGTTATTCTAAAACTATGTTGGTATGTGGGGCAAAGAACATTTACATTTGTTTGAATATTCAAATGATGCTTGATAGAAATCTTTGATAAGTTATGCTTTTCCCTCCCAAAATTCTTTGAATATAGGCATGTGAGCAGCAGTGACAGAGTGGGCAAACCTTACCGCGGTGTAAAGCCTGTTTTCAGCATTGGGGATGAAGAAGAATATGACACAGGTATGGTAATACAGACTGCTTTCCTTTATCACCATGAGTTATTCTAGAGATCATTCTGAGACCAGCCTAAAAACTGCTTTAAAAAAAGTATACAGTGAGACTACGTAGAGGAGAATTGAATAGTCTGTGGCTTGTTATTACAAATTTGGTTTTAGATATACTAGATTTGTGATGTCTATTAGAAATCCTAAGGTCCCTGGGTGATGCAAGCAGTTTACAGTTGACTGCTAACCAAAAAGCTGGTGTTTAAACCTCCTAGTGGTGCTGCAGAAGAAAGGCCTGGTGATCTGCTTCTGAAAAGTTACTTCCAAGAAAACCCTGTGGAGTTCATTTTTACCTTACAACACATGGGGTCACCATGAGTTTGAATCAACTTGACATCAGTGGATTTGGTTTTTTGGTTTATTAGAAATCTAAGGAGAAATATTGAGTAGGCAGTGGTTGTAGGGATCTTCAGCTGAGGAGAGAGGTCTTAGCTGATAATTTGGGAATAATTAGTGTAGAAATAGTATTTTAAACCATGGGATTGGATTTAAACCTTTATGATCACCCATCTGAGAGAATAAGAGTTACGGGACTGAAGTTGATGGACTTCGAAAATTGAGGCGTCTGATAAAAGGCCTTTGGTAGCAGGAGGCAGTATCTTAAGGGACCACAAGATGGAGATACTTTGCCAGGAGAATTTATTCTCTGTGTGGTTTTCTTAGGAGCTCTGGTGATACAGTGGCTAAGACATTTGGCTGCTGACTAAAAGGTTGGTAGTGCGAACCCACCAGCTGCTCTGTGGAAGAGAGATGAGGCAATCTGCTTCTGTAAAGATTTATAGCCTTTTAACCCTGTGGGGCAGTTCTACTTTGTCCATTAGGGTTGCGATAAATTGGAATCTACGCTATGGCAGTGGATTTGGTTTGGTGTGGTTCTCTTTACCTTTTTAAAAATAATGTATTATTTTGGTTCATAATCCTACTGCCCAGGGTACCCTGAAAGATAATCATAATAATGTTGTTGTTATGTGCCGTCTAGTCGGACCCGACTCATAGC